TAGTTTCCAAACAAAACACTTTAGTTAGCCAAAATTTTATGGTATGTAATATTGTTTCTTTAAGGTAGCACGATTTTTTGAAAGAAAAGTAACAAATATCATAATTTTAGGGTAGCGTTTAATGCTGATTTTTTTGAAAAAAAAAAAGTTACTAAGTATGGAATGTAATTAATGATAATTGAAATTTGACCAGAATTTGACCTACTATTTTTAAAAAATGGTAATTCTTTTTATATATACTAGTACAGATCCCGTGCGATGCACGGGGTGCACAAAATTAAGGTCATTTATCAAGTCTTATAATTATATAAATGAATAAAGAAAAATGTACGGGATATATGATACGTGACCTGTAATAGGCTAAAATGTGAACACGGGTGATGCACGGGGTGCACAATTTTAAGGTCAAGTAAAGAGTCTGTGTGATGCACGGGATGCACAATTTTCTAGTATGTGTAATACAAATACATACCGTATGCACGGGACAGAGCAATAATTGAGTTATTTCCACAGAGCTTTCCCGTTAAGTAGTTCCTGAATATGGGTGCACAATTTGTAGTACGTACTATAAAATCAGAACAAATTTCCATACAATTAGATAATAAATTAGATAAGCCTTTTTTATTTAGTAAAGATTTTACGTACTATTTTTTACTTATCGGATGTTATGAGATTTTTTTTGTTAAACCGATTTGATGGGATATAATACAGATACAATTAGAGGATTGAACAAAATCAGAACAGATTTATATACAATTAGATAATAAAAAGGAATAAGATAAAGAAAAGAATAAATTAGATAAAGAATTTTGAATCTACCTTTTTTTAGTATAGATAGACTTTACGTACAAATTTTGATTTCACCGATTTTATGAGATTTGTTTTGACAAAAGCAAAGACGAACACTGAAAAATGTTCTATTAACATTTACAATGTGTATTTAATGTTTTTATTTTGGCAAATTATTCTTTTTAAGTGTGATATATAAATGTTAAAAATACTTAAAATATTTTATAACATCTATAAAAAGCATCTAAAATATTTTATATTATTCACAAATAATGTTTGAAGTTACCTAAATTTTTCTAAACTACCCGTAAATAAAATATGTCTAAAAATTCTTCATTTGACCTCCATATATGTATATATAGAGAGCAAATGTGTAAAAAAAATTATACAAATAATATTTAAAAGTATCTAAAATATGAGTAATTAGCCTGGTGAAATTTAGATTTTTAAAAAATCTATATAGATAATGGATTTATAGTAGTAATTAGACTTTTATTTATTTACCTTTACAGTTGTTACGATAGATGAGAGATGTGATTTTTTTGACTCGTGGAGATGAAATTTTATAAGATGGGTTATGAAATTTTCTTAAACTCGTCCATATCTATGTGATGAGTTTTTTTAAGCTGGTTTTATAGATTTAAAATTATAAAAAAAAAACTTTCATAAATCATTTGATTTGGTATTTTTGGCGAGCTTCATTAATTTAAAAGTATAAAATAATAAATAAAAAAGTACAACTAAAAAAATTACGGCCAGTTGTATGGAGAATTAAACTAAATTCAATTTTGTAGGATGCATTAAAATTTGATTAGATTTTTTATATAAAATAAAATAAAAAATAACTGAAATAGTTTTACGTGTTGCAATATTTCATATTTAAAAAAAAATTAGAAAATCTTCTTTTACGTATTACATACCAATATTTTATGAACTACATGGATATTCCTAAATTAATATTGCATACCCAATATTTTAGAAACTAATTCAATATTAATTTGATTTGCATAACAAAAATATTAGATGCATTAATTAAATACTTGATAAAAATAGCAAATCATTAATTATTGTTGACTATTCTACCTATTGAAATTAGTAAATAGGTTTGCTGATAATATAAGTATAGATAGGAAATTATGGAGAGATTTGTTAACAAACAAATTCCTACAAAATCGTATCAATTGGTTAAGGAATATCGATCAATTTTGTGCTGATATAATGTTGCAAAAAAAAGGAGTTTGTTATTATTGAATTTGGTAAGTAATTACCATCATAATAATTCTAGAAATTATGTCCAGATTTGTCAACAATTAGTTTCCTACAAATTTGTATTCTGTTAAGGAATGTTGATCAATTATCTTTGAAAGTTTGTTTCAATTATGATGGAAGGATGGAATCAAATAGTTACGTGATCCCACAAAATCCGATAAAATTGTGTAACAAAATTTCAAATGCAAGGATGGTTGGATCAATTAATTACGATGATTTTATGTTATTAATTAATTAATCATTAATTTTATATTAATTAATTTAACGTGTGGGACCTACATGGTTATTACTTAATATAGTAATTATTACTTAAAGTAGTAAGTCAATACTTTATTTTTTTAAGTCAAACATACTATTTTTGTATTTTTCCAACAACCTCTTTATATTACTATAGATATAGACAAGGGCGAATTTAGATGTATGAGTAGGGGGCAATTGACCCCCCTCAAATTTTAGTTTTTTTACTATTAATATTAAAAAAAAAATTAATTTGTCTCTCCCTTTAAATTTAATTTTGCACCCCCAAATTTTTGTTCTTAAACTTGACTCACAAGAACAAGTAAATTTATTTTTGCACCCCCAAATTTTTTGTTTCTAACCGTCACTCACAAGGACAACTTGTCCACAATTATTATCAATTAACAATTCAACACTTTTTTTTATTCTACTATTAATTTTGTATATCAATTATTATCATTCTACAATTTTAATTGGCACATATAAAAGATTTCAACTCTCTTTTCTTGTTAGGGCTGGTATTTTTATTCTGAAAACTGACCGAATCGATGAGAAAATAAACCGAACCGACTTATGTGTAATACGGTAATCGAAAACAGGTTACCGAAATGTTATCAGTTCGGTATCGGCTCTAAACCCATTAGGGTTCGATTTTGAACTATTATGTTATGTCTTTTGCCCCCTCTCAACGAATTTTCTGGCTTCGCCCCTGGATATAGATATAGATTTATTAATTAATTTATATTATAAATACAATTTCATTATATCAGTCTTGTTTCACTGTTGGAACGAAATAAAAAATCTTTCGAAATAGTTTTTTTTTTTTTTTATCCAATTGCATAGTAGGTGTCGTGTTTTATAGCTGGCACGTTTTCTGTATTGTTTTTGGCAGTTTATAACTTCTAACAACTGCCAGTGATTTTTTTTTTTTATTATTATTATTTTTAATAGAAAATACTCAAATAGAGAGAGAAAATATCAGAGCTCCGTGACTGTGCGTTCATTTCATCTTGTTCGTGCTGAATTAAAAGAAAAACAAAGAATAATTAGAAGAAGAAAAAAAGGGGGGGAATAATTAGCAGTGACGAACAATGGCGGCGATGGTATCTAGCCTTTCAACACTGCGTAAGGTACACACACTTATGCGCGAAGATTTGTTCGATCTCCTTCTTTTCGGAATTTTCGGTTGATATATTTTTTTTTCCCTTACAATTGGCAGCGCACGCAGATGCCGCGAGTGTTCTGTAGAAAGAAAGAGAAAGGATGCCCGAACAATTACCCGTACAAAGTTACCGAAATCACTCCTCCGCCGAAGAACCTCGGCGTTCGCTGCTTTCCCTTGGTAAGCTTCTTTGATCGAGATTCTAAAACAATGCATCCAATTGGATTTTTTTATACTGCTATCAAGTCCAATGTTCGGTGTTCTACAAATCGAGCTCGGCTGCACCCGGGCGCCCGGGTTTTTGTCTGAAAAGTGTTAGGACCGACAACTCAAAACCTAGTTCTCCATCAAAACCAACATACAAGCTCAAGTGGAGTTCCATTCTAAAACCAATTGGCAATAGATGGAGTAACCCACCAAACTTATATATTGGACTTGGAAAAAGCTCGTCTAGGTGGGATTGAGTTTGCACACTCTACAAAAAGCTCGTCTAGGTGCTTGAACAATTAATATAAATAGATTTATTTATATTTATATGATCCCGTCTAGGCCTTGTATATTCCCTGCTTAGGCATCTTTTAGAACATTGCTCATGTTATATATTAGCATTGCAATTTTATTATTTATGTTTTTTTTGTGGAACGATTCCCGGGAAGTTTTCCTTCAAATACTGCTACTGAATCCGCTAAGGCAGTGGGATTAGGCTGTGGTATGAGAGTATTCATAAAGTCAATTAGATGGAGTAGTTAGCCAGCTAGTTGTTCGCAAATTATTGTTCGTAATGTCATCGACCTGAATTTCGATATGTAAAATGGTATCTATCGTGCACAAGAAAAGATGGGGTCGTAATAGGTTGAGCCACTAACCGTACGAAACAAATTTCTTTTGGCTTCAAAATTGGAGTTAGGAAAGTGAACAAGATTAAATGATTAATGCTGAAGTTATAATAATTTTTTTCACCGAAAAAAAAAATTATAAACTGTTGAAGGTTCATATGGGATCTTGTCAAAGCTGTTTGGTGTAGTAAATTTTCAGGTATTGGGAAAGGTTGCCATGAATTGCTCGTCTTCTTTTTGCCACGCATGAGTTGAATAAGATTGTTCCTCGTGAACTGTCTTATAATTTAAGATGCTGTCGAAAAGCAGTACTATCTTATTGAACTGAATATCTTTTAGCTTCTAATTTCAGAACTTGCAGTGTGGCGAGAATGTGACAATTGAAGGCCAAACTTATACCATATCGGCCGTAACTCATCGTTATCAACTTAGGAAAGGGAAATATGAACCTAGCGAGAAAAGGCTCGACGTGTTGTCGACTGGAAGATACATATTGAACTTGTATTTGGAAAATCTGCTCGAACAATCATAATTCCGGACTTTGTTAGATTTTTTTTTATCAGTACATTGTGGATATCTGTGTCTCCTGCTTTATTGTATGATAATATGCTCTGTGGTCAGTTGTATGGACTATGGATATGCATTTTATGAATCATTGTAGTTAATTTTGGTGCATTATTTATTGGTATGATGAAGTTGAAAGGTGAATTTTTAAGTTAAAAAAGCCCCTTGAGGAAGCTTTAGTGAAATCATTTGCAAGGGTTAGATTTAGATTGTGAAGAAAGATAAGATAAAATAATAAGAGAGTAATTATATGAAGCTGCACTCTCTATATGATTGTTCTTATAAAACATGTTATGCTGATTGGTGACAAGAGTGGCCCCTTGGATATTATTAAACTGTCTCCTTTTCTTCAACGTATATTAAATTTTAATTGTTGACCCAAATTCCATTGAGAATTAATTTTACCAAATACAAATGGGGAAACAAATGTTAAATCAATTTAGATTAATAAAATCAACATTTATGAAAATACTAAATAAGTAGAATAAAGTATATTTTTCGTCAATGTGACAAGTAGAACAAAAATGCGGAAGTATTGGTAGTATCAGTAATGCTCTCCTACCCACGGTAAACATAAACGGTTGGTACGTGTTAATATGCTTACCGCTTATGTGGCATGCACAAATTGGTGATGTATTTTTTTAAACATATTAACATCACCAATGTGTGAATGTCACATAACTGTTGACATATTAACATGTGCCCACCGTGGGTAGGAGATCATTATCTTTAGTAGTATATGAGAAATTATAAGTAGACAATATTGTAGATAGAGATATACATAATACTTAAATTGAGTGGGACCCACCAATGTGTTAAAGCAAATTCATCTACCGCTTTGATTGTATTAGCGAACTGATAGTAAATTCTATAACTTAATTTGACCAGCAAATTCAATTAGTGATTCATTGAATAAGTGTATGGTAAATAGTAATAATTTATAGTAATTATTTTTTTTTTTTTTTT